TTCTCCTCAAAGATCCGTCCCTGAGGTTTTTCAACCGTGTGGTCTACAAGGACCTACCGGCACACTGCTTGCCGCGATTTCCGGTTCGGCTGGCAATGGTTGAGGGGCAGGTATACTTTGGCATTGGCGGTCCATGCAACTTGAAATTATTTGGATTTTTTTGGATACCTCTTTGATCCTCTTTGAATCTCTTTGATTCTGTTTGATCTTCTATGCTTCAAGGTTCAATGTTGTGTTTGGAAAAGACACCAGGTCATGCAGCAAAGAATTCCTCTGGTCAAATCGCTTCTCATAGTCGGACACTATACCTGGGAAGGTATTGGGTGGATCTGGGTGACGCCTACAACAATGGTTTACCGGCAGCAGCTTTCTGCCGGACAGATGGCCAGTCTGACAAGCAGCATGCTCTATGCAGCTGTCCGCTCTACTACACATCCTGCCAAGACTTTGAGAACCTTTCCCTCGTTACAGTCTCCTGGGCATCCCGCGGTTCGCTGTTGTGGTCGTTGACGACAGGTATGTGCACATGTCCGTATTTACACAAGGGCCTCTCTGTGGCAGAGCGGTGCGAAATATCAGTTTGCGGCTTCTTGCTCTTTGACATCTGGCAACTGCTCTCCTCCAAGATGGAGGTAGATCGAGGAGCCCGCATTGGAACCATGAGCATGTCACCTGTTACGGTTGGCCATTTGCAAAACCTCTCGCTGAACATGGTCGTCATGCTGTTGCACAAGGATGTGCCCTGTCTCAAGACATCTCAAAACGTAAGTATATACCTATGGGGGGTGCCTCCTAGTGATTTTATAGTGTGCAAATGGGTTGGCTTGGCAGGGCAGGGAGCTTTAAAGACTCACTAAACAATACTGTACTAAGCGTACATAAATATAGACTCCACGGGGGTGGGGGCTTGCCATTTTATAGTCTATAGTTGCTTCATGAAGTTTCATTTTCCTCTCAATCCACCAATTATATCCAATTATATCCAATTATCATCAATCTGTAGTCTCAGGAATGCTTCACTCCGTGGCTTCATGGTAATGGAAGACTGACTGAGCTTCCAATCGAATACCAATTTGGGAAGCTCCGCCGGACTCAGTCAAATGCGGAGCTCACCGCTGAGACCTATGCACGTTCCAGCGCCTATGAGACTATGCGCATGGTCAAAAAGATTGCTTCCAGTAACAGCTCAGGACCCAAGTCTGCCAAGGAAGCACCACTGAGCGAGAAGCGGCTGCTTGTTTTTTAATTTTGATATATTTTGATATATTTTGGATGTTCTTAGTTATTTTATGTATTTTTATGTTATTTTATGTTTTTTTTGCTTTTGTGTGTACATTTGTTTTAGATATTTTTAGGTGTTTTTGTTTAAGGATCTTTTTGGATCTTTCTTATTTTTGAAGTATTGTATAGTATTGTGATCTTTGAGCTCAGTTTCATTCGGTTTCTAAAGTTCTTTCATGTCTTCAGGTTCCAAGAGTGTTGCAGTCGGGCGTTGCAATCTGCAGTGGATCTTGCCGCCTGGGCGTCCGGATTCGAGGCTGAGTCTCTCAAGAAGTACTATCAGCAGTCTGTGGAGGTCAACTGGTTTGAAGCTAAGGACGCGGTAGGTGACAAAGACGAAGATGACAGTGATGAAGAGGAAGCAGAACTCAGAGCTGCACCGTGACTTTGTTCCTGTTCAGTACTGATTTGGGTTCACCTCTGACAATTATGAACCAGATTGTTTTTGTATCTTTGTGGCTGTGCAATCCTGCTTTATCATGTATTATCCTGTATGTTCTCAGGACAGCAAAACAAGCTTGTGACTATGTTTTGAAGCACATTGCCGGCTGCTCTGTCCCCAAAGATGATGACAAAGACCAGCCCGATTTGGCACCTGAAGAGGTTGAGCGTGAGCTAGATTTGTCACGTTTTGGGGAGGCTGACAAGATTGAAGTTTGCCAGGAATTGCATGGAGAAGAGCCTGGGAAGTGGCCTGCTGAAAACGTGTCTCAAAACAAGTTGCCACATACCTTGCTTGATGCATTGCGCCTCGCCTGTCACACTCATCAAGTCTCTAGCGTTGCGCGCAAACGTGGCAAGTCTTTGTCATTCTTTGATGGTTCATGGCGGTTCCAAAATGTTCCACGAGCTTGTTCATGTTTTCCTCAAACATCCCATCGTTCAAAACCTTGTCTAGGCATTGCGGTGGCAACCGGTGGAATGCCTTGTGGCGCCTGTGCTACTATTTGCGGTGTGGCGAGAAGGGATCGGACTCAAAGTGGATTCCAAACCGACCCAAGAAAGTTAGAACCAACAACTGGTATCAGAACAACCTTCACTTGATCTCGCAGGCAACCCTGGAACAGAAACCCACTATCCGTCAAGGCACGCGTAGCGGCCGCTTCGAAAGATGGATTCAACAGGGTGCTGAGCAGCGATCCAAGATTTCCTCTTCGTTGACCCAGCCCAATGCCGTGGGGTTCTTTGGAATGATATAGACATACACTTTGTTTTCATTTTGTATCATTTTGTCATATTATTTCAGAATGGAGCTGTTCACTTTTAATTTTGCTTATATAATGTATTTATATATTCCGTATATTTTGATTGATACCCAAGGCCCGGTAATGTGGTCATCATTGTCCGTGGTGATGGATCAATGGCCGTGGGGCTGGTGACTTCGATCTGGAAAGGTGCCAGGAAGAAGAAATTGTCCGTGATGCCATGCGTGCCAGAAAACTGCTTTGGCTTCCGTGTCATCGAGCTCACCCCCACTGAGGCCTTGATTTGCCTGGGGCGGTATGCTGCAAACATGTTTTATCATGTGTTATCATCATTGGTTCATTTTGTATATATTTTTTTTTAATGATTTTTCTATTTTATTTTCATTTTTGTGTCTTCTTTTTTGTTGGTGTCAGATTGGAGTCATGTTGAACCAGTTTGATACCCCTGGGCGCCTTGTTAGGGGAAAGCTGAAGAATTTCATTGCGATGCCAGCAGCCGTTGCAGCGTCTATCCGTTCGATGCCTTGCTAGCCGTGCTGAGTTGCAAGCCAGATGGTGATTGGGAGTCAAGTTTACTCTATAAATTTTGTATCCGTGAGTGTACCAGATGAAGCATACTTTCTATACCTCTATGATCCTCTATGTCTAGTTTTATGTGCTATTCATGCAACTGCCGCACTATAATATCAAGTGTTGGACCCCTGTCAGGAGCATATTTTGGGAACCCATACATGAGTTATCAGGTATGCCCCCCAAAGATTGCAAAAGGGTGCTGGGACTTGTATAGCTGTATACCAAAATATGGAGTGTGCAAGGGTCTGAAGCCATGATTTTATAGACAAATATTTTGTTTACGTATTTGTTTGTTTTAAAACATTGACGTGTCCTGCTCAGGATCTCGCAAACCGCATGAGATGCTTGAGACATTCTATGTTGAGCTGACACCGGCATCCATGAACGCTGCGCATGAGGCATTGAAACAAGTGGCAGGGACATGGAAAAGCGGTCAGAACAAGGCTCCTCCGAAGATTAGGCGCCGCAGACTTGTCTTCAAGGCCACAGCGAAGGTTGTGAAGAAAAAGATCAAGGAACAGAAGAAGGGCTTGGGAGCGAGAGCCATCAAGCCAACGGGTGGGAAGGTCTTGAAGCCTGGCAAAGCGCCCATCGAGTGCGTTCCAGAGAACTTTTCTCGGTCTGCTCGCGGAGAGAAGCTGATCCAGGAACAATTGACATCGCTCCGAGATTTGGATAGGAACAGGCACCCGAAGAAGCCTTGCTTTGAAGAACACTCCGGTCTATGCAGACTCCAGTTACTAGTTTTATTCAATTCTATTTATGTATCAAAAACAGTAGACCATAATAGACCCATACAATTTCAATGAGTTTAATCAAGCATTGCAAGACTATCAGTCAGTTTGGCCACGTTAGATTGAGGCTTCCTACTGCGTCTGGACAAACATGGGACGGCGTATTGCAGAAGGCTCCAAAGTTTTTCTCGGCGACAATCCCCACCCGAAACCGAGAACTTTATGGACAACATATCCATGAGCGATTTGAGAGGATCCGAGCACAATTGCTGATGGATGTGCCAGTGAGGAAGGGTTGGCTTCTTTTGCTGCGCGAAATTCTTGAACTTCCATAAGACACATGTTTGCGGGGTGATGTTGCCGCTTCTGAAAGCAAATACAACATAATAACACCATGTCATAGACTGTCATAGTCCCTGTTGTTCACTGGGCAACGCCTGAAATCTTTGTGTCCACAGTGTAGTGTCTCTTGCAGCACGCTCCTGGCGTTTCAACAGATGTGGGGAAGGAGTGCCTTGAGCTAATTGATCCCTGCTCCAGGGGAAATCAAGCGATTTGTGAGTCAATCTTGTTCTTGATCGTTCTTGTGGTATCATATGTTGAAAGATGTATAAAGATGTTAACAGATGTATACAGATGTTCCCAGAAACATTCTGCAGGTTCATGCATTTTCTGTTCTCAGTCGCTTGATGCTTGACAAAGGAGCTTTTGGGATATGGGGATTTGACGTGGAATGCCTAAATTTGGCATGACACAAACAAAAAATTAGATGAACAGATGAACCGTGATAGACCAGGCTTGACATGACGTGCCGCCAAAAAAAGAAGAACAGTCATGCGTGTTTTGCAGTTTGCATCTTCTATCATCTTCTGAATTCTAGTTGTTTCTTTTATGTTTTATATGTTTGTTATTTTTTTAATGTTCTTTCTATAGCTTGTCCTTCTTTAGTATGTGTTTTCATGTCTGTGATTTGTACATGTCTAATTGCCCAGGCTTTCTGACTGCTTATGAGCCTTCCTGCATAGTAGGTTGAACCTGGGGGGGGGTGATTTTATGTAAATGCTGTGCACCTGGGGTTCCTCAAATCATATCCCTTTGAGGGTGGGCTCCACCATTTTATATCTATAAAATGGCTCCTGGGACCCCCCCAGTGGATTCGACACGGGGATGTTTTTTCATTGTTTCCCGCTGAGATTCGCTTCTCCAGGCTGGACAAGGAGAAGCTCCAGACCTGGACCAGGTGCTCCCGGGTCGTTTCTTCTTTGGTCTACAACACCGGTCGGACGTTTCGGTTCTTTGGTGTACCGCAACGGCGAGGAGGTGTACATAGAGAAAGGGGATGCAGTTGACCGAGAAGAGGCCCCTTGCTGCGTTTTGGGTGTTCTGGGAGTGAGTGACAGTGAGTGGTGATATCCAAATTCAGGCGATCTGAAATTGGGGGTGTGGGGGAAGAGGAGGGACCGTGCAGCACATAGCAGCCAGATGCAAGTTGGTCGGTCCAGCTGCTGGAGGGGGTCCGGAACCATCGGATTCAACACTTAGAATCCCTAGCGAGTCCCTGGGTCCTTAGGGAGTCCCTGGGTGCTGCACTCCCCATTGATCCTCACGAGTTCACGTCAGGCTGCCACCCTTGGAGAGAGCAGCGCTGGCCACGCGCCTGCGGGCTTTGAGCAGTGGCTTACAGCGTCACGTGGCGCAACTCTGGGAGACGCAGCGGATAATAACCATGTTCGGGGACTGGATTCCTTAAGACTCCCAACTATATAGAAGAGAATATCCCGACTAAACATCTATTTTTCTAACTATTTGGGGACCCCTAAGCTAGAAATCCAACACCATGAGTTGGTGCGCTTGCCGTCGGCCTACGGACTATTTTGAGCCATGTTCTTTTCCGCTTTTCCGGCGACCCGCACCACACCCATGTGGGTAGTAGATTGGTAGGACCCAGATAGGAGAGCTGGACAGAGAAGTTGCCGCGAATGTCTCGCAAGGCACCGCCAACGCCATCCATGAGGTGGTGGAACTGGAGCGTGCCGCCGAGCAGGATCTCAGCTGTGCGCAGTGGATCCGCGAGGTTCGTAGGGGTTTCCCAGAAAGTAGCTGGAACGTATTCCATGGAAGTGGAGCATAGCGTAGGACTCTTCACCGATTTTGGGGCGATGGTTTTTTCTTCAGCAAGAGTACCCGGAGTAACTGTTTTTCTTCAGCAAGAGTACCCGGAGAAACCCACCGTATATTTATTAGGTCTTGGCCTGGCGTGGCTTGCTTTCAGTGAATCCTGAGGCCATCCTGCAAGCTCACCAAGGTCTAGAGAGAGAGAGAGAGCAAGAACCTAGTGAGGGAGCGGTGGCTGGGGCCTACGAGACACGGACGTCCTGAACACCGGCTCAGCTGGATCTCGAAGCTGAGACTCCGGGGAGCTCCCTAGCCGCTAGCCTGAGACGTCCAGAAATATCAAAGCCCCACTTTAGGACCTTTATGCACTTGATCATCCATCCCTTCACGCACCTCATTCAAGCGATCTGCCCATCGCTGCCCATCTCCGCGAGGAGCCTTCGAGCGCCGCTTGGCTCAAGCGAGCCTCGCAGATGAAGTACGGTGTCAAGGCGCCACGACCGGAACCGCCGCGGGGCCGTCGGAACTGCTTCAGAACTGGGGGCTCTCCTGTTCCCTAGGGCTCCGAAATACCTTCTGAGACGATGTTTGGGGTGGGTTTAGAGGCTCCAAATACCTTCTGAGGAGGTTCGACTGGAGCGGGGAGCCCTAGGGGTTCTTATTCTCATTGAGCGGGCCGGAGCTCGGACCGCGGGCCCCTTCACCCCTTAGCTAGTCATAACAGCTGAAGGCTTTCAGGAAGCTCCGGTCCGCCCGGGTGTGCAGAACATGTGGCTTTTCTTTGCACCTGCTTTGCAGACGGGTGTCCGGATTTGAGGTGGAGGATTTCATCCATCCATCGCTGGGTAAGTCTCACCTGGAAAGTCGTCCCACAAGCCACAAGCCATGTCTTTTTCCACTGGCTTCTTCTCATCGCAGCTGGATCTCTGATGGGCTCTCCCCAACCCCCCAGAATTCGATGGGCAGGTGCTCCAACGTGCGAAGAAGAGCGGAGTAGCAGAGGATCAGGACGTGTCTCACGAAAAAACGTGGGTGGCTGCCCTTGGGGAGTCGTTGGTGGCAGATGAATATACACTCCTTGGAATTAACATGGAAGTGGAACATGCCACCTTGGAAGACAATTGTCCTGTACAAACAGGAGGTTTTCCACTTCCATGTTAGTTCCAGGGAGCGTATATCAATTGATCAAGTCATAACTTTGACTCAATTTACCATCATAATGTTTGGAGTTGTGGTTCCTAAATGCATGTATTTGAAGTGTGTGTGTGTGTGTGTTGCCAGATTTCATGCCCTAGGATCCAAGTGATATTCCACACCCATTGGTATACTGAGCATAACGTCCAATGTTGGTTCATTAACCTCCCCCGAAAAGGGGATGAACATCAAGATGCCAGGACCCTCTTTTCGGGAGTTCCATTTGTCTAGCTCCTTAGAGGTGAACGGGGTTTCCATCAACCAGCCCAGCCGTGGGTCCTGGTATAAAGATTGAACATTGCTCCATTCTATACCCTTTTCCACTGTTGTTGTCTTCATCCCACCTTCGAACGTCCACAGGATCTTTGGCTGAAACAACTGGACGCGCTGCTGGCGCTCGAGCTGCCGGAGCAGCAGAACGACGGCGTGGCTGTGCCACTTGGAGCTGAGGAAACATTCTGAAAACCTGAAGAGGGAGCTGCCACAACAAATCATCAAGCAGAGCTGGCAACTTCTTGTTCTCATTCCGGGCCATAGGGGAAAATCCATTGCTCCATGTTTGCTCCATTTTGATGGACCTTTGCGAGCCGAGAGCCTCTGCGTTGGGACTGGTTTCGTTGAGTTTTGCCACTTCAGAAGCTGCGACAGGTTGAGCTTCCGGACAATTGGCGGAGTCATGGTCTTAGCGTTTTTCAGTAGCTCGCTTGTCAACACAGAGATCCGGGTGGGTTCGTGTTGGACAAATGCCACCATCAAGCACCCTGTCGGCAGCTTTTGGGCCGCATCCGCATCAGCCGCTGGGCTAGAGAATGCTAGAGATGTCAGGCGATCGATGGTCACGGGTGCCGCGGCACTGGAGCAGTTCCAGGAGATGAAGCAGATGGCGCCACAGCTCAGGTGGGAGAAGTACTCAGAGAGGAGATAGTGGGCTCACCCAGATATACTCAATAAATCTCAAGCACTTTCAGTGGAGATTCACTTGGCTTCCTATTGTTTTGGGGTCACGTCCCCCGGGCGGTCATAATATGGGTCGGTTTCATTTTTTGAAATGTTCATAGATCGAGGGCAGTGGGATTGTAGGGCAAAGCAAGCAACGCCGCTGATGCTGGGTACGTGCTGTTAGGATACCCTTGTTGATTCACGACTTATGGTTTCGATGGCGTGCGTGTGATTCTGCTGACTGGAAACATGAATTCTGAATCTCTCATGCAGAACGTGTTCGATTGCTGCATCTTGTCTTAATTATATATATTAGCAGATTAGTGGGGCAAGCTTGGAAAGGGCGTGCACAGTGTGATTGGGAGGCCCCTCCAAAAGCAAAAATAACACAAAACAAGTTCTTGAGCCTGTGGATTGTCCTGTGTGTCCCCATAAAAATGGGTTGAGATCATGGTGCGCATGGTGTTTGGCGACAAACCCGGTGACCCGAAGCCACCCGAAACTCGTGAAAGGACCGGGTCCTGTGGCTTCTCTCGTGCCTTCAGCGCTGGGCCGGATGATTGAACGATGATCAGTGGAGATTGGAGAAACCCACTTACAACATTCTTACAACACAATAGGAAGGCTCACACACTGAAAAGAAAAGAACCACTCATCGCATAGTAGATATACATGATGCCACATGGTCTCGGACTCTTCCACTGAAAACCACCGAGATTTTGGTGTGGTTGATTGAACCCAAAAACCCCTTTCAACCCATGGAAGTCTTCCTTCTCCTGGTTCGCCCCAGGGCGGCGCCCCCTTCGTCCCAGGAGCCTCCGCCCCTCAGCCGCGCTCTACAGCTGCGGCGCCGTCGGCGTGGCGCTGCGGCTGCGGCGCTCGGACGCGACGGAGGTGGAACCGTGGCGGCTCGGAGGGGTCGGAAGGTCTGGTGGGCTGAGTTCGTCAGGTGTACCTAGAGGTGGCCGCTGAAGGCGGCTTTAGTGGTAGGAAAGTATTCAACATGTTTGGATTGAAGGGGAGGTCTGTGAGGTGTTTGGCGTCTTTAGCCATAGAGTCAGCCCAGAAGCAAGCAGGAGCTGTAATTGTATAGTATATTTAATATCCGATATAATCCGAAGGACTTTTAGCCGTACGGTATAAGGTATTATTGTAGCCGCATGAGATCGTATGTGAGGATTGCAGTTCTGTTTGATGCTGTTTGCAGGGATTGTGAATGATGTGAGTTAATGATTGCGAGTGAGGATTCTGACAAAGGAATTGCAAGACTACCACAGAGACGGTTGTTGCTGTATTTCGCTCCACCTTGAGAGCGAACTGAGGCTTCTTTTGGTCGAGCACGCCGCGAGCCCAGTCTTCCCTTCCCGGGCGCTGGAGATACTTTAGGACATGATAGGACATATGGGACCATTCAAGCATTTCGGACCTAACTCGCTTCAACCCGAAGATCGGAACAAGAAAGCATCGCCCACCTCCACTCCTGCCCTCATCCTGCCTCGCTGAGGTCTCCACATCCTATGTCGATACTGCGAGTGCTGCGTTGTACCTGGATGCAAACCAGATCCTCCACGATGATGCGGGGGAGGCGTATGACATCGTATGACGTATGCCTCGGTGGCGTACGGCGTATGCGTGGGGGGCCGGGGGGGGGGCCAGTTCCGAGTGGCTAAAAAGAGGGCCATGGAAGTTGGGCCAACAAACGTTCCGGCCGTCCCCAGCAATAGATGACTTGACTTGGATGCTTAATGAGGTTTGGGAGTGCTTCAAGCAGTTGATTAGCATGTCCTTCTCTCAAGGTCTGCATTTCAAGAACCAACGGGCCGTCCTTGGGAGGTGGCTCCGGATGTGGCGGTCTTGGCAATGGAGCCCGCGGCTGCTTGACTGATGTACTTCGCTACAATGCAGTGGTTCATCACCAACATTCATCATCAGCCATCAGCGGAGATTCCTTGATGTTGAATTGTATTTTGTTACTACTTGGAGGTTGGAGGCCATCGCTCTTCGGTTGGAGGCCATTGCTCTTAGGTTGGAGGCCATCGCTCTTAGGTTGGAGACCATCGCTACTATAGGTTGGAGGCCACCGCTAGTAGGTTCAAAGAGCTTGTTATCACCAGTTTGGGTGACATTTGGCGACCGAGGACTTCTACAAATGGTGTCTTGGCAGTTGAAGGTAGAGAGTGAGTGCGGGTAAATTCCATGTGAGTGGATACGGTAGTGCTGGAAGTCTACAACAAGAACTGGCTTTGTGATTAGGCCTCAATACCATCTCATTCTTTCAACACATGAGGGCCTGCGAGCCTGAAGGCAATGACATGATACCAGTGGACATATAATTCCTGACTAGGAATGCTGAGAGCTGAGACAAAAGTGACAGATCATGACTCTTCACCAAGAATGCCAAGAATGTGCATCAATCTTCCCTTTTTCGTTGCTGGTGTGGCCATTTCATTGATATGTCGACATGGCATGGTGGATCTTGAAGCTTGAGGTTTAGGACCTCGGAGATGTACAAAAGCACCTGGGGCTGCAGAGTCAGTCGGTGGGCGGGACCTGGAGGGCACCGTATGACTGGACACGCATGGCACCCACCCCAGTCCCACCTTCTCAGAAGGTATTTGGAGCCCTAGGGCCAAGAAACCCGCAAAAGTTGGGGCCGCAAACCTGAAGCGGGTGCATCCTGGATCCGAACTCTTGCAGCCTGATGCATCTGAGTCGTGCATGAGACCACGTTCCGAACAATCAGATGACGATAGAACATGGAATATGGATTATGGATTGGTTCAGTTCACTCGTTAATTTTGTAAATAAACTGCATTATTTTCGCATTTATTATTTAGTTTAGCTTGGCAGTAGCTAGGAGATGCTGGGAGCATGTACCTTGTCAGTCGCACGAGGGAAACCAAACCGAAGAGGGGGGGGGGGTGTTGACCGGTTCGGAGCCCTGGGTCCGCCGCTTCCTCCGCAGCATGTGACGGTCCCTGCGCCGCGCGGGCGCCCGCCGGGGCGCCGGAAGTCGCCGGTGCCGGTCGCGATGAGCACAGAACGTGCGAGATGACGCTGGATGGAACCTCTCCCTGGATGGGAGGAGAGGGGTGAGGGCTGATGGGTCGGAAGGCTGATGAATGGGCACAGTGGGCCAGGTTGGGTCCCAGTTTTGGAATCGAGATCCCGTCAGTGAGCATATTCAAGATGATTTCTAGAAGATCTGACTTGAGGCGCCTGGGGCCTAGCTTTAGACTTATTACAAGTGTGACGCACGCAAGTGTCACGAAAGGGAGGCCCTCAGGGTACCGAGAGTTTGTTGTTTCGACGTTGAGCCCTTTGAAAGACCTGATGGTCTATAAGAGTTTTGTAGCCGAACCTCCCAACCTCTGTCTACTCTAATCAGGAGGGAACGACTGAGGGTCGTGGTCTCAATATTCAATATTCCATACATATCCATACCCAGACCCTCCATGTATGCCATTTATACCTACATTGACCATCATTGACCCCCCAAACCACCCTAATGTAGGCAAACTATGGCGCATACATGAAGCTTCTATGCACAACATATGGCATACATGTGATTCCATCTTATTCCATACATCTTCTCCTATATAACACCTGTGCCGGCCATCCTCATTCCCGAGCGGATCACGTTCACCTCTTCCGTCCGGCGCCATGATCGACTCTGGTCGCCAGACACGACCTGTCGACAGGGACTGGCGTATTGACCTACATTGACCCCTTTTCAACCACCCCAATGTATCCCTAGGGATCCAAGTACCTTCTCAGAAGGCACTTGGACCCTCCAAACCCACCCCAAACACCTTCTGAGACGGTACTTGGATCCCTAAATTATGTAAATATGCCATACATAGAGCGTCTGGGCCAGGACTTCCACCAGGACTCGCTCCTCCAGTTGAGGCTCTGCGCCTTCTGCGTGCTCGGCGTCGCGCTGAGCGCCGCCGGACGATGGGTGGAGGGCAATGCCATGGGCGGTCTCAACGACTTGGTGTGGCCGCCTGGAACTGTTGCCGTGGGAGCCGAGCGCCAACGCAGTCCGCGCGGCGCCAAAATGATCGGGAGATGGGGCGAGTGGGCGGTTGATGGGAGATGAGAGTGGAAAGGCCAGCGAAATCCAGCGACACTTAGTGGAAAGAAGGAATGGAAAGCCACTAGTTTGGGGGAGGAAAATCATCATCCAAATCTTCAGAAACCATTTTATCACTTCCATGATTATTTCAGGGAGTGTAGATTTCAATAACCCCACCACCCCACGACACAGAAAGAGATGTACCGGTGTTTTGCCGCGGATCCTGAGTGTTGCTGCACAGTGGGCCACACCCAAAGTTTCACTGGGTCAATTCCGTAGATCATCGTAGATCTATATAGTCAATGTATAGTCATTTCAAAGATATACAGACAGAGTCGCGGATGACTTCGATTGATCTCACGAAGTAGAAAGTGATCCACCTCGCCAGGTGGCTGCCGTCTTTGGGCTGGCGCTCTTCCAAGATCAGCTTTGGCGGCTCATGGGAGGCGTCTGGCGGGTTTTTGAGGTCTTCCCAGACAGGCGATCTCTTGGAAGATGTGATTATTTTTCACGTCCCATGGATGGGGGTGTTGAAATGTTCCGGTTCGTGATCCTTAGAAGCAAAGACCCGTTGTTTATAGGGTACCAGAATTAGTTTAAGGATGTTTAAGGGGAATCTACAGTGACCTACTTGTACAGCAACATAATTGAATTGTGGGTGTGTTGGAAATCGTCTTCGTCGCCCTCCCCCTCTTCAAGAGCAACAGCACCAACGAAAGCATCTGCCAAACCATCTCAGACCTGCCGAGATTGAGGCTGCGGAGACGAACCGTGCGCCACCTCTGCCCGTGGCTCCAACTGTTTGGTGCCCTTTGTGCTGCTCGCGCTGATCAACGCGCTCTTCGACTCGCTGACCTTGGCGCTCAGCTGCGCCGACGCTCAGGACGTACGAACTCAGCGCGCGAACTCGGCTCCCAGAGGCTCCAGTTGAACCTTCTGAGGTGCCAGGGGGGACGAGTGGAGCCCCACAGGGTTAGGAGTTGGGACATATTTGGACTGGAACCCTACTAGTAACGTCCGGTGGGTCACGCTTTTGTGACCGCACTTCGGGAGAAGCGGTGCTTCGCCGGACTGGGGTTGAGCGGTGGATGCTGGGGTGCTGCGGAGGCGTTTTTGGACTCAGGTGGACCTTCACTGACTGACTGACCTGTGGTCCTTCACTGCCTGCGCGCGATTTAGAATGATTTGGTCCAATCCCATGCGCACCAACGGCGGCTGGCCGCGCACCAACGGCGGCCATCACTCTTCCAACAGTGGCGAAGAAGGCGCAGGCCTCCGATCCTGCTTGAGCCATCGGGTCCACCACCGGTGGGGCTCCGATCTGCTTGAGCCATCCAGTGCCCCACGCATCGACCAGACGAGTGGGGAAACATCGACCAGTCTACCGGTGACGACTCTTATACAATGCAAACCATTGCCAACCCAGTATGAGCGACCAACAAAATGGTTGGCTATTGTCAAGGGGTGACCCCGAACTATGTTGAGGGCTTTGTCTGTTGAGGGCTTATGATGCCACTACCCGACCGATCAGTCGCAGCATTTGCTGTGTGGAGTGTTTGGGTATCATTGGCATTCATTGGCCACCTGCCACCTGCTGCGTTGGGGTTGAAAGAAGATCCCTGCTCTTGCGGATCAACCATACATGGCGGGTGGAGCTACAAAGTGCTTGTGACCCTACGGGCCAGAGAGTTCCCTTTCTACAAATCTTAGCGAGCGCCGAGGGCACTTGCAAAAGAAAATGAAGACCTCGCGACTCGCTAATATGTCCCTATGCCTAGACGACCTAGTCTTGGACCCTTGTTAGGCAATCATTTCCACCCAACTTCCTTTGGGCAGAGAAAATCGGCGTGTCGCCTGTTTTTTTGCAAAGAACGCCTAATCAGCACCCTCGACAGGCAAGCTTGCACACGACAGGCAGAGCCAGAATGATGTTTTGGAAGAACCTGATGCTAGCTACAGCGCCTAAGTGGGCAAGATTGCCTAAGCAATGGGCAAGAAAGCCTACGCAAAAGATGCAGAAAGTCAACCATTTGGAAAACAATGAAATTACTCATGAAGCAAGATGCAAGAATCCAAGATTAGTGAATTCCTCATCAAGCACGTACAGTATTTCAAGTGCCTGGTTGTGGGTGCTCATCCTCAGTATGGGATCTCCGGCTACAGTGCTACAGGAGAGAAGAACGCCTCAGTACAAGTACATGGTGCCTTTAGCCACATTGATAGGCATTTCTATACATGGTAAGACGAGTGAACTTGAGCATATTCCCCTTACCAGCCCCCTTAACCTCAGTATTTCTTAACGCTTTGAAAGCCGACATTGGGCTTCCGAGGATTGTTTCCAGTCCCTCCAGCAAGCAAGTTCAACTCTCTGCAGCGGATGTTTCTTCACCTTCGCCGCGGCGCAGCTTGGAACAAGCTGCACCCCACACACGTGACTGTATACACCTGGTGTGATACATACTGTGTTTCTGAAAGCAGCACACATGCATGGATTGTAAACCTTGGATGGGGAGTTGAAATCTCATCCAGAGATATCGTCCAGAGTCTACACTACAAGCTTTTCCATTAGCCCTTGTGGCCTTGAGCCACCCGACGCGCTGATCACAAACAACCATGTGTCAAAACCCGATGCATTTTGCCATATTGGACCTAGAACCCCAACCATGCCCTCCAAATCCTTCCTTTCTCTCCCAATATCCTGAACTGCCCCCCCACATCACCCCCCCCTTTTCACCTCGGACCCTCCAGCCTCGGTCTCCCTAACCTCGCTTCGCTGAGGCTCTTTCAGCTCGCCGGCGCGTGGGTGGCCTTCCAGATCTACCGCGCGAGGCCCCAAAGCTCGGGCTACAGCCTGGTCCCCTCGGGCGATGCGGCACCCGACCCCGCGGACGCGCGCGCGTCCGCGGCGCCTGAAGCGCCGCTTCATGCGACGGAGGAGCAAAAAAGGCGGCCGGTGCGGCTGGAGGGAGGTTTTGGCCAAGTTTCTGGCTGAAAGGACCTTTAGGAACTTTTGAAGACATGCCGCGGAATCTTCTCTCACATGATCTCACATGCTAGATTCCCAAGATCCTTACTGTACAGATTACTAATGATTACTACGTACCTCAATGTCCATGATTCACACACTTCGCAGGGTGCAGGATGGTGCAGGTGATTGGTTGTCTCTTCTGAGAAACTCCGCATCTCAACCTTTAGCTGGCCGGAGCCAACCACCACACGCCGTCGCTAGATCCCCCTTCGTCGGAGTCATCGAGCTGTTAGACCAGGAACTCGGAGAACGGAACCCTTGGCCATTGGGAGGGTTCTGGATGTGCCGGCCCGCATGGCTGAGGTTATTTGGCCATGGTGTTCACGCGCAATCCTTTGGGCCAAGTACCAGGCTGTGGGGCGTTGAGTAGTAGCAGGATGGCAGGTGTGAGAGAGGTGCAATCCGAGTGAGTTTGATGTGTTTCAAATGACAATTTGGGTTTGTTTGTCTCGGATGCGTTCAACCATGCCAGCCAACACTAATTGGACCAGGCCCGCAAAACTGGAATCCCGCCACCCTCAAGTTTTTGTGGTGATCAACTGATCGGCAACATCCCTAAACCTGGACATATGACATTGTCACTGGATGTGTTCCCTTATCTTCCTCCTGGTCTTGCACCTCAACTCTTCTCTGAACTGGGACCTATCCAACCATCTAGCAAAGGCGCCCCAGATTCTTTTTTGGGCCCACCCCACCTTCCAGCAATCGCAGGTTTTCGCACGTGCCAGACGGCGTGTTTGCGCTTATATAATTGATGTCGGCTTTTCCGGTGTTTTCTTTGGAGGGGCCCTGCAGGTCAGGCCTACGCCTTGCCCGTGATCCTTTGGGTGAAGACCGCGGAGCTGTTGATCTCCCGCGCGCCGAAGAGCTCGAGCCAACGCGACCCAAGCGACGCGATCCCCAGCGAGGAGAGGGGAGCGTTTTGGAGACGGTGGAGGCAGTGCCCATGGGGTGCAAGTTTCGACGTGAGGCAGGTGTCAGTGGGACCAGTGGGGAAAGAGGATTATTTTCAGATCAACTTTTCCTATGCCAGGCCTGATCAGGAGCATCCGTGGAATACAGTACGTGTTGGAAGTAGAATACGTGCAGGTGTTTGAGGTCGGATCATGCAAATTACACACACGGTCTCATTGGTGGCATACTCCAGCACCACCCAGTCAGGATGGTCAACCCCAGGGGAGACTGTAAACCAGGTGCTTCTGGCCGTGGTGCGAACGGCCTTGGCCGACGAAAACAACGGCTTTCGCTCCGATCTCCGGTAGTAGACCATGTCTTGGGGGGCTCCAGGACACGGAGGGCAGCGTGGCACATGGACCGTGGCTGCACCGTTCGACCCCCTCTGAAGACGATGACGCACATCGATCGACCTCGCCACCTCGCCTCGCCGCGCGTTCCGGCCGTGAGGAGGCCCAGTGGTTCCGCGCCATGCTGCGGATCCACCTGACAGCCGCTGAGACGGTGCGACAGATGACCCAGAGCCGAGGCGCCTCACTCCAAAAGAGAGATCACTCCGACTCACAGGTCCATGGAAGTGGAACACTCTCTGGTTGCAAGGGAAAGTAGTCTTTTCTACTTCCATGTTTAGTGAGCCAGAGTGTAGACAATCGTGAATGGAAAAGGGTGAACATTCCCTCGTGCAAGCGTTTTGAAGATCGTTTCTGATGATGTTTCTATAGACTGATTTTTTGAGGTTGCCTATAGTACTGACATGTACTGACCAACACGTTTCCGACCCAAGATGCCCGGGCTTTGTGGGAAGACGATTCCAACTCGGTGCGTTTGGAATGGTTTGGGAGGACGGTGCCCAGGTCCAGGCCAAGGGGCTACAGGAGTCATGCTCCTTTTTCACAGTCTAGAACTGCCACCTGACCTTGGTACGTACGCCTCTGATCAGGGCCCCTCAGACAGACGTGCCCCGTCTCGACCACGGCAGGTGCCACCAGTGAGCTGGCTGAGGCGCTGGCTGGGCCAGATCCCAGCGCTGCCTTGACCGAAGCAGAAGGACAGTGGGGCCTGTAGTGCGCGGCAGGGGGGTACACAGAGAGAGATTTGTGCAGGCATTTTTTCCCGGTTTTGGCGAGGTTTTTGGCCTTGGACCTTGGAATGTGGTGAGTTTCTGGAGGTCATAGTCACACATAGTCATACATACTGTGATTATATGTGATTATTGACCTTGAATCTTTGAGTTTGTTTTCGACAGTTTGTTGGGCTCAACCCGAAGGAAAGGGAAAGGTCGAAGGATGAGAATGTAGAACCTTCAATCTGTGACGCCACCCTTGCCAGGCTCAATCACCCTTTTTGAAGCCAAAACCTTGTTCCCACTGGACAATAAGAAAGGAAACTAAACAATGCCGTCCGAATGGGGTCCTTTCACCACCCTTTGGATGATAGACCGAAAGAGCCAAAGTATAGCTTAATAGTCATGAAAGAAATGGCGTATACAATAAGTATCGATCAATTAACCAGTGGAGTAGGGGTTCTTACGGTAAGAGTCAAGGACCTCGTGTTGTGCTCGACTCTTCTTGACGATGTGCAGAGATTTCGTGGCAGATGCAGCGAATCGGACATGGGACGTCTCGAGCGAAAGCTGTGCTTTGGCATCTTGATGGTGTCTTTGATTGTGCTCTTGCTGTGAATCGCCTTGGTAGGGCTGCGTGATGTGAATCTTGAGGTGCAGATTTTGTGGCAGTCGCACTACTTTGTTGATCTTGAAGTCTAGATTTCGTGGCCAGCGCGGCGCAGGACTCCACCATCACCATCACCACCGACCACCACCATCATCACCATCACCACCATCACCATCACCACCGCCATCACCATCACCGCCACCATCAACATCATCACCACCACCAGCACCACCATCAACATCATCACCTCACCACCATCACCTTTCTCTGGGGCCCAGATCTCTATACCTTCGGTTCCCACACCTTTAGAGCTTAGACCTTTAGACACACTGTTTGGGGTCTTGTGCCGGGATAATTTTCATTTGGCACATCTCATCATCTCATAGCAAACATAAAGGTGGAACAAACCGAATGAGATTTTTGGAATCTCCCAGATCAAATTATTAATCCACAGATTTGGGGATTCGGCACGCTCAGGAGGTCCGCAGTCCGTGTGTTTAGCCTTAGCTGCTTGTTGCTTCGCACCGTCGGCGCTGCGCAACTTCTGGGGCCAGCGGGGGCTGGAGTTTCCTGGATTTTGAAATGTTGGGGTGCTGGAGCTGGTGGAGTTGGTGGGAGGCAGGACTCTAGAATCTAGAACAGATTTATAATTATTGATTCTCATTATTATGATGACCTATGATGAGAAGTCAAAACAAAAGAGGGAACACGAGAATGTCCGAAACGAGACTTAAGGAGTTGCTGGTGAGTAGGGTGTTTGAGTGTGTGGTGCAAAAGTCGCCGCCTTTTTTTGCCCTGGAAACGTGAATGTTTGGAAAAACAACACTGAAGAAACCAACTGTTCAGTCAGCAACATATGGGAAAGGAACAAACATGAGTCACAGGCAAAGGCACGAAAAACAAAACACATGGACGACTAAGGGGAAGGAGCAGGAGGAGAAACACACACATAACACGAATTTAATGTGTTTTTTTTCTGAATTCAGTATGCCTACCATACTTAAAGTGTATATTAGATTGTCGTGTTGCCAACAATTTTTGATTCCGGTAATTTGTTGGTAATGTTTTGGGTTATTGAATGAGTATTGGAACAGGTCTTCCAGTCAAAACCACAGATTGCTATTGGCAGGTGGTTTGCATTGGCTCTGCGCTCAAATGACTGAAGTATGTCAGCATCGGCCCCCCTTCACTGATGGTTCAAGAGGAGCATTGAGGGTGTTTTCTTCAATATACAGGGCTGTCCCCCACCCTTATTTTCCAATCGTAAATTGTCACTCTTGCTAGCCAGGGCCCGTGTAGACCACCGGTTTTGGCGTCTGGGGTAAGAAAAGAGGTCCGAGATGAGATCCATTGGCCTTCATTCGGTTCTCCCAGAAATTACGTGGTTCGGTCAATGCGTACGGTACTAGATTGGTTTCGGAAAGAGCATATAGCTGGTAGTGGCTACCCCCCCGACGACCGGAAGAGAACGGTTTACTGCTCAAAATTGGTATGACCCACCACGGCATGGGCCCCATGGCATGGGATGGTGGGGCATTGAAAACTCGTCCACTTCCCCGGTTGAGGCGGCCGTTTTCGCACCCTCGATCGATCCAGGTTGGCGAGGTCCAGGAGCTTGCAGCGACGCTCGGCCGCGCTTTCAGTGGCCGCGCGGTTCATGTGGGTTTCGCATGTTCCCTTCGCGGTGTTTCGTGATGTTCTTGGTGGTCTCCGCTGCGGTTTTTTTCGCGGTGCCGCTTGTACGAGAGGCGAGTCTCTGCAACTTGCCGCACCCAGGTGCGGCAGGGTTGATCTCTTAAGATCAGATTTCAAGAGCTCATGAATTCGAAGGATACACCCGGGAAGAAACCCGCATGGAACCTGATGGCATGGACCAGACTGGAAGACTACTTTCCTCTACAACCCGGCGTGGTTTTTCAGGTTCTATGTTAATCTTCCCGGGTGTACTTCAAGAATCTCTAAGATTTGACACCGCACAGCATCCTTTGGCGCACCAGTTTGTTCAAACATATTCGGATATGGTTTAGATATGTTCAGATCATTTCAGGTTCTTTTTCTCACGCAGTTGCCACCATATGTTATGGACTACTGTGGACTAATATGGACGCTTCTATTTCGATGTGTTTTCCGGCGATCGATCGACACGTGCATTTGATATCGGACTACTATGGACTCCTGGACGCGCCAAACGATGTGTTTTCCGTCATGTGATCCCTTAGAAACTCAGATCTTGACCAAGGTGCCCACTCCAAGACGTTGCAACGTGGCGAGGAGGCGCGAGAGCGTGCGAGGGGAGGCGCGCGAGAACAGCGTGGAGGGAGGAGTTCAGGGAGGTAGTTGGGATCCCTTCAGGAAAAGACCTAATTAACACTTTCATGGCACCCCGAGCAAAAAACACGTGAACATGTATCCGTGTTAGGAAGCCATCCCAAAATGCATCAAAATGCTCTAATTCGCGTTTTGGAGTGCACAAGATAGAGATGTCCCACGATATCCTTGATTTTTTCGCCTCCAAAGGGGCAGCCATCCACTTCCATGTGACCTCTTCGTTGGCCCAACGACGACACAGGACGACCGTGCTGGTTGGCCCAAGAGGCTCCGACGCTTAGCGTTGGCCATGATGGCCGAGGAGGGGGGCCGAAGGAACGACGGGCGGGACGGGCGGGTGAGGCAACCACCAATCCAAGGCCATCCATGTATAGAGTTACTTACATGGATGGGTCATAAATGGGGGACTCTCCCGCAAACGGACCACATGGAACCCGAGAATGGACCGGTGGTTTCGAGCATGTTCCGAAGACCAACCCAGGTGGTTTTGGGGTTCCATGTTAATCTGTAGGGGAGTAAATGCATGTAACATATTAATCTATATATCACTATTCAAGTCACTATTCCATATACATCGATGCTTTGGGAATGGCCAATATGGCCAATATGGCCAATGGATTCACGAGATTTTAGGAGTTGCCCAGTTGATCATGGAGATTTTCTGAGGATTCTCGCATCTTCTTGCCTATTCTGGGAACCTGTAGGGGGAACCATTGGGAACCGAACCGTAGGGAACCACAATTCGCCGGAAGACTGGTGCTTTTCGATCGGTTTCTGCATGAGTTTGCGCGGTGTGTAGGGACTTGAATGCTGTATGCTGTATGCTTTCCGCCGTCCGGCGGCGCACTCGACTGGCCGAACGGAACGGCCGAACTGGAGCGGTCCCACCCGGGCTCCAGCGTGTTTGCATCGGACCGCATGTGCTGGGTGACGTTTCGTTCCGATCTGTTCCGACGCCCGTTCAGATGAGGTGTCCCCACGACTGGCCACATGGTGTCCCCACCTGGTGGGACATGCTGAAGTCTGAAGACCTCAGTGTTTTTGGTGGCTGTGCCAAGAATATGAGCCCTGAAGCTCCAAGTAGCTTCTAAGAAGGTGGGACTGCGGTGGGTGCCAGGAGGGTCCAGTCATACCTAACCGGAGGTACGACTGGAGCCTGATCGGGGTCTGACTTCTGTGCTTCACCTCGGTAGTTCACTGGGCTTCCGTGACACGGAATGACATGAGGCGCTACCGTGTTCTACGCGGTCCGGTCCGCACTTGGTGTAGTCGGATTTCCGTGCCCATCTCGTTTCTGTTGAGTGAAAACAACTGAAACACGTGGTTTTTGGATCCCCTGCCCGGGTCAAGACTCGGCCGAGCGCATCAGCACAGCTGGATGCGGTGCTCGACCTGAGTGAGACCCCATGTTTGCCGGTCATAGAGGTCCAAAAGATGGCGCGTGAAGTCCAGAGGATGCGGAAGAGTTCTTTCCTGCTGAGATCGTGTGAGATGGGAGCAACCTTTTTTGGTTTGGTTTCACATGTTTTTTTCCTGTTGTTGCCAGTGTTTTGGGTGTCGCCCCAGCACCGGCGTATCATCCCACCTGGACATGCCAGGCTGTGTCAAGGGCCTGCCGCCGGCTGGTACGATCTGTTTGTGTCCTGGTGGAAGAAGAGTCAGCGTTTGGCCTCGCGGTTGGGTTCAGGGGAATGCAAGGTGACTGAACAATGAGGCGTTCAGTCACCTTGCATCACCGAAAAAGGATCATGAACGATCCTTCCAGGAAGCCAGTTGCTGGGGAACCCAGCACTCGAAGGTGTTTTGAAGCCAAAAACGCACTCATGCAATATCATGCAATCATACCCTCAAGACATCGCACCGACGCACCGACCCCCACCACGACATCGAACGTCGGAACGGTCACGGTTGGAACCATGGCCCCGTGGCCATGAAACGAGCTCCCAGAAGCTGAGGCCTGCTCGCGAGCGTAGGTTGGAGGCCATCGCTATACTAGGGTGTAGGCCATCGCTAGTAGGGTGGAGGCCGGTGGAGGCCATCACTACTAGTTTGGAGGCCATTCGGAGGCCATCGCTTGCCTGGCCAAACCACTGAGGCTCCCAGAAGAACCGCCGACCGAGCCGACCCTTCCCCCGCCCGACGCGACCGAGGTCTGAGCTCGAACGAGGCGGAAGGCGAGGTCTTGAAGAAGTTGCTTTGGAACGCTTTGGGCCACCTCGGCTTGCAAAATGGGAGAGCAGATGGTGGAAGTACTGGCAGAACTGGTGAGGGGGAGCAGATGTATATCATGAAGCTGGAGGTTTCGTTTATTATAAGGCGTGTTGCCTTATATTATATAATGATCATATGAATCATATATGATCTCAACATTTCGAGAAGAAGCAGATGGAATGACACCAGATTTGCTCCAGCCCGCCGCAGCCAAAGCCAGAAACCAAGACTGACCTGTTTTGAGCTAAAATAATGCAAGACTGCTTGATGTCCGCAAATACGTCTCCAGAAGTGTATTTAATAGAATGTATTCTAATTGTTTGAATGTGTGCTATTGTTGGTTATATTGATATCTATACATGTTATTCTTCACACACACATATGTATGTAAATATATATATATATGTATATATCAATTGGTGTTGTTATTGCACATGTATGTGTATATATATATATATATTTGTTTAAAACAACATATATTGTATATTATTGTATTACATGTAGTTTAAACATACATGGTTTCAACATACTCTCTTAATATGGAACGTTGGAACCTCCTCCACCGTGGCCGGCTCCACCGTGGCCACCGAGGTTTGGATCAGAGCTCGGTGGCTCCGGTGAGCGCCCTGGGCGAGCCGGACGACCCCAAGCTGGCCAAGCCGGAGCGGTGGTGCCGGTCGTGCCGGTCGTGCGCGGTGGGTTCCACCTTGAAGACTCGAAGACAGAGATGGGGAGATTTCTGGCACATAGATTAGATTAGATTAGTATATAGTCGATCACAGATAGATGGCATTTGGCCAGCACCTATTAAACGACCATCTAAGACGAAAAAAACCCTCCTCAGGACTCCAACGTGAACACAAACACTAAGATGGCACAGTTGCAAATGCAGTCGCACATCGTCGTTTTATTTGCCGACATTTCACGCGATTACAGCTGACAAGAAAGATATGCACATAGATG